CGAAAGATAGGACAAATTTAGTGGAAAAGCTTCTGCGTGATTTTTCTTTGGGATCCCCTCTACAAAATGGCTATCTTGAAATTTCGAAATTTTGATTTTGGTTTTTAGGCCTATACCTAGAGCAGAGGAAACTCTGAAAATGACGAAAATCGAAACTTCAACTGGCCATAACTCCGTAACGGTGAGTCGTAGAGGAAAATTCTTTACAAGCCAGATTGTAGAACTCGTCAAGATCTACAAAAAAGCTTTGCGAGTCTTACCTCTACGATTCACCATTTCTGACATATTCTACTTGGAAGTTTTAAAATTATTTTTTCCGGACAAAAAATCAAAGTCCAAATTTCCCAAATTTTCTTCAACTACGTCATACAGAAGATCCAAAGAAATGTCGGAACCCACTTATCCCCCTGAATTTCCTGTTTTCCAGGAGTTTCCGGCCCTATTCTATACCCCATAAAATGGAAAATCGAGATTTTCCGAATTTTGGAAAAATAAAAAATTCACTGTTTAGAAGAGGTCAAAACAAGCAGAAAAGCTTTTTGGCATTTTTCCATAGGACTTCCCTTAAGCCCGGAAAAAAAATAAAAAAGAAAATTAATAGAGATAAGGCTTTTCCAGCCTGATATGATCTTAATGAATGGGCTTGGATAAGTTTCAATGAATAATGTTTTATTCGATAAAAGATTAAATTGCCCCCAGAATAACTTTATCCAGAATTTTCAAAATCATACCGTTTCTAAGTTATGAGCCTTCAAAGTTAAAATTTTTTAAAAAATTAGCCTTAGCTTTATTTCAGGTGGAGTTTTAACTTCTAGGACTACGACAACTTTGTTAGTTTTCGTTCAATCGATTTGAATTTTTAGTATGTTTTGCCTCTAAGTCTCTAAAATATTCCCTCAAAATTTCATATTCGTGCTTCAATTAGTTCCTGAGTAAATAATTGAAATGTGAAGGCATGTCATAAAAACAGATTTCATAGAAAGTTTCAACTTTGGAAACTGATAACGCAAAAACTATCGACAACTATTTTGTGTTTTAATGCTCCTTTGGGATCCCCCAAACTCCATACATTAAATTATTCTGAAATTTGGAGCCTATGAAAAAAAGGCACTCAGCTTTCGAAAATCTAAATCATAAGGTCGGTACCTACCTACCTTCTTACTAAAACGATGAAATTTCAAATTTATTTTTGTCGAGATTTTGTATCCTAATAATCAATCAACATACCCCAATCTTCATGCATTAAATTATTCTCAGATTTGAAGCCGAAATCTATGAAAAAATGCACTCAGAAAAAGTTTTCCAAAATCTAAATCATAAGGTAGGTAGCCACTTCAGTACTAAGACGATAAAATTTCAAATTTTTTCGTTGTTTAGATTTTATGTCAATGTTCCTTTAGGATCCTCAAATTCCATACACTGAATTATAGCCGGATTCTATGAAAAAAATAAGGCACTCAAAAAAATTGAAAAATTGATAATTCACCCCAAATTGCTTAACACATAAAGGTTGAAACTACTCAGCCCTATGGAAAACTGATGGGATTGTTGAATCTTTGCCGTTCCTCCTATTGATATTGGACTTGGTAACAACATCACGATATCTTCTTATATGACAGACGACTGGTCAAAGATATCAGGGAAAGAAAACTTGTTTTCTTTTCTTTTTCGTTAAAAACTACGCTGTATTCTTTTTCCCTAGCATGGATTTCGATAATTTGACCCACACTATATATATTTAACATCTCGTTTTGTGCCAAACTTCACTAGAATAAAGCTCCCAACCAATATTTCACTATTCTCATTTTGATCTGAAGGTGGTTCTAGGGCCCAATCAACATCATCAGAGTCGGTAAGTTGCAAGCTTTCCCCACCTGCCATTTGCTTTTTACGTCAAGACTGAGGAATTCGCTTGTTGTTGGTAACTGCCAATGAAAATATGCGATTTATAGTGTAATTAGGTGACAATCCAGTACTTACATTCATTATATCATCAATATCTTCAAATTTTTCTGACATATTTCCGTAATATAGTTCGTGGTATATTGTGACGAATTGCGGCTACTTTCACAGAAAGCCCTTTGTTCCCTGATACTACAAAGGGCATTTTCTTATGGTCTCTGACGAAATTTTTCCAAATAAACCAGGTTTTTCTGGCTTTGGCCGCACCGTAGAATATTTCCTTTCTAGAAAAAAAAAAAAACATGTTTAGAAGAACGTTGGGAACAGTGGCCATTGCTTCTTGTTTTTACCGCATGATAAATGTTGTATTTGGAACAATATCTACTACTTTTGGCTTGTCGAAAATGAGTGGCCACTGTTCCCATCCGATTTGTGGCCACTGTACCATAAATTCCTCGAGGAACATTTCGATCTAACCTCAAATATTCCCTTGGATTTCCCCTACATTACCATTATCATGCGATTCTTTAAGTTGATATACATACAGTGAATATAAATATTACATCAATGTACTTACCAGTAAGGATGCTATTCACTTTATTTGAAATCGATGATGCAACTTTGCGTACACGCAAATGACGTCATTCGTGATTGAAAATTAGTGCACGACTTATTTGACATGCACTTTTTCAATCGCAACTGACGTCATTTGCGTTATGTTTGCGTGTACGCAAAGTTGCATCAATTTCAAATAAAGCTCCCCAGAAAAACACGAGTGTACGTAACTTTCACGGTTAACAACAAACAGAAATGAGCTGCAATCACGTGCGATGTTGGCATGAACAACAGACTGAAACTTTCTTGGTAACGCATGGTTTGGCAACTCTGTAAGAAAGGGCCCGGCGCTAATAGTAGGGCATCATAGGACCATAATACCAACGGATGGCCACTGTTGACGGACCTCCAATACTAAAACAATGAAATTTTGAAAAAAAATTGTTGAGATTTTGTGTCCTAATGGTCCTTTGGGTTCCCTCAAACTCCATACACTAAATTATTCCGAGATATGAAGCCGAAACCTATGAAAAAAGGCATCCAGAAAATTTGAAAAATTGATAAATCACCCCAAATTGCTTAAGACAATCCTATTTGCCTGTAGTCAACCGAAGGTTGAAACTCAACCATTGGTTCAGCGTTTTATAATACCGGCCATAAATGAGCTGAAATTTTCAGGGATTGTAGTCCTCTAGTGGCATAAGAATCGCTGAAAATTTTAGCTTTCTATCTATAATATAAAAAAAGTTATGACCTTTCAAAGTTTTCCAAAATCTACATCATAAGGTAGCTACCTCAGTACTAAAACGATGAAATTTCAAAATTTGAGTTGAGATTTTGCGTCCTAATGGTCGTTTGGGATTACCCAAACTCCATACACTAAATTATTCTGAGATTTGGAGCCGGATTCTATGAAAAAAGGCACTCAAAAAACTTGAAAAATTGATAACTCACCCAAAATTGCTTAAAACGATTCTATTTCTGGAACTTCAAGTCCAAATGTGTTGAAATTTTCAGGGATTGTAGTCCTCCACTGGGATAAAAATCGCTGGGAACTTCAGCTTTCTATCTATAATAGAAAAAAATTATGACCTTTCAAAGTTTCTCAAAATCTAAATTATAAGGTAGCTCAGTACTAAAACGATGAAATTTCAAAAAAAAATTTGTTGAGATTTTGCGTCCTTTAGGATCCCCAAAACTCCATACACTAAATTATTCTGAGATTTAGAGCCAGATTCTATAAATAAAGGCACTCAGAAAAATAAAAAAATTGATAATCCACCCCAAATTTCTTAGCACGATTTTATTTCTAGAACTATAGGTCCAAATGAGCTGAAATTTTCAGAGATTGTAGTTCTCTACTGTCATAAGTACCCTCAAACCGTATAGATTTTGAAAAAAAGAAAAGACATAATGTTGATAAATAAAGTATTAATAACCTGTCAAAAGATGAATGAAGAACCCTATCGAAAATCTTCAGAAAAAAAATAAATAAAAACTCAATTTGAAGCAAATTTTTTCATATTTTCAACCCATAAGGGCCATAATTATTTATATAATATTCTGAATCAGAATTAAATGCTCTTTAAAATAAAGTTGAATCATTTATCCCAAATCGTTGTAGAAATGTTGAGCCTCAAAACTGAAACTTTTTCTCAAATTTTGGAAAACCTTCAAAGCTGATTATCTCGAAAACGAAGCCCTAGAGCTCGGTACCCGAAATAACCTTTTTTGAAGCCCTATTTGAGATCTACAATTAGACCCATAGCTTTTTCTGGTTGTCAAAATATGACCCTTTGAAATATTTGAAAATTAAATTTTCTCAGGATATTTTCGTTTACTATCCAATCCTATTCCCCATTATTTTTTGGTCGTTATTGCACCAAAACTAAACTGACATTACTGCAAAGTACAAAGCACCATTCAATAAAATGTTTCCTATATAGAAAATTGTTTAATTATTGCGGCTTCCGCCTGCAGGGCTACAACTTTTTTATGATTTTTACTACGGTAATAATAAAATTCCGATGTGCACTCAAGGCAAAATGAAACAACCATATAGCTCGTTATAATGAAAAGGGAACATATAAAAATAAATGTCATATTACCTGTTTTTTGTAATTTGTATTGTTATTTTGGTCCATAAATATTTTTATTGAAAATATCTTTCCAGACAGTTATATTATTAAGACCCTATGTTATCTTTATACTAATAATTCTCCTTTCCTATGATAATTATAAGCGTACGCTTATGTCAAAACTCATAATAATAAAAACTGCTTGATCAGCGGTACTGCAGTGGTAGTACCACCATTCCGCCAACGCAAATGCTGGCATCAGCAGTTATTTCTTATTCAAGCCAGCGCAGTCCCGTAAGGAGCGTTCATTTGCTTTCAAGCATTTGTTGTAGCAATTTGATCCACCTATTTTCGTTTATCACCATTGTATTTTAATTAATAAAATAAATGTTTTTTAAAAATACAAGTTTCTGAATCGAAAATATAATTAGTCGTTAAAAAATTATCCATTTTATTTTTTCTCAGACTGGACCATGTTCGAACCAAGTTTGTTTGGGCAGCGTTATGGCTCAGCAAGGCAAAACCGAAACTTTGAGAACGCCCAAGGAGATTCTACGGCAGGCCAAGGAATTTTTGGAGCAATATTTCACTTCAATCAGAAGGTAAATTTAAAACTTGTCATATCTCGCTACAAAGTGTAGAAATTATTGGCTGGTTTCCAACAAATAACACTTCTTTTATCTATATATACAAGCTCAATGGATTCTCCAAGTGTCTATACTTCACTGCCCTTTACGCTACATTTGATATCGGGCAAGAGTTTCAATGTTCAATAACGATAATTTTTTGGTTACAAAGAATAGATACCTACAAATAATAAGTTTTTCTAAAAAAAAAAAAAAAAAAACAGGCTATTCAGACAAAAGTAATTTGGAATCTTTCCATTTCTGAGATGGTTGCAAAAGTTTGAGATTTCAAGAAAATGCTTTTAATGGGAATATTATCCCTTTCAAGTGTTCATTTAATTTGCATAAGAATCTTCAAAAAGATCATGATAATTGTAGGTTTTACATAGATATTATGTAAAGCAGCTTTAACTGCCCAAAATTTTTGGAATAATAATAATTGCCCTAAAGACTGCATTTTTTCTCCTGAAAATGGGAAAATAGTTTGTGAATCAAATCAATTCTCCAAAGTCTATTTTGCCTTCCTTATGCAAGGAAAATTATCTTTTCTGTACGACTTTCAACTAATAAACTAACCCTTATTAATTCACCCCTTTGTATTTTAAGTCGGACAATTTAAGATAAAAATGAGCCGGTTGATTAAATACAATTTTACAGCCGTAGGCAAAATGCTACAGCCCCAGCTTTAGGATTAATTCAAAGCCATTAATAATACCAACATATAAACAATCTTGCACGGGGGTTATATAAATCATGTACGACGATATTTTACCTAAAGGGGAGTTGAATTTATTCGTTTCTCGTCGCCAAGATATAATTCAATTATCAAGAGAATTTGCATAATTTAATATTTAAAACGTTGAAGTCCTTATCTACGAGATTCAATTTAGGTTGCACCAAATTTCACTTCTTTTTTCTTGAAAAGGCTCTTCTTTGATTTCTGATGGATGATTAGCTAGTTTGAAATTATTTAGTAACTGAAACTCAGTTTACAAACAGTAACAACTTTTTTTTGAATAAATTGACTCTATAACAAACAACTCACTTTGTAAATATTGTGTATTTAAACTGACTTCCAAATGACTACTAGGCTCTATTTATAGACGACAACGTAGTTTGGAAGTCTTGTTTTCTCTTCAAAAGTTTGAACATTTTCCCATAAACAATAAAAAAAAAAAATCATACTTAGCTTAGCAATCGAATTTAATCGAAATTAGGTGCTATTTCGGGTTGTCGCTGCTGTGGTCCCGGGGGAAGTTTTGTAAGAGACGAACAAAACTGTTGGTTCCTCTTCTTTGAGACTGGTTTCTTCCATTGGTGTCCTCTTAACGTTCTTGTTTGAACTCCTTTTTCTTCCCAAGTTCCATGTTTATTTGAGTTTGTTAAATTATTGTGCGAAATAAAAACTGGAAAATCCACAGGCTGCTGATAGAATGGTAATCGATGAAAGATTTTAAATTGAAAGATATCGAAACTGAAAAGGATATTTTTTCATATTACCTCGCTTTACTTTCAAACTTCACTTAGTTGGCCAGCTCTTTCAGGAAGTTCAAGTCCAATGCGAAGGAGGGCAGACGAAATACTCTTGATTTAACCGGTCGCGGCAAACGAAAAACCGCAGGTTTATTTTCTCGAACCACACGAAACGGACGGAGTTCTTTTGGCGAATCGTTGCAGAATCACAATAGGAACTTGATGAAAGCTTTTCAAAAACTCAGGGAAGCAAACTTAAAACTCAACCCCAAGAAATGCGAATTTTTAAAGAAGAAAATTCTGAGAGTTACTTGTTGATTGCGTTTTGGCTTCGATTGATTCGAGGTGTACTTCTGCCCTTATTAATTTGTGAGGTTCATGCAGAGGTGCCCGGGTGGGTTTCAGAAGCTTTACTTGTGTGTATTGTGGAAAGCATTAATGGTTCTTCTTGAATTACAGTTTTCTCATTCAAGACGTTTTCACTGGAAGTTGTGAACTCGCATCCTGGTGGTGAATTGAGAATACTCCTTTGAGAATTATTATCTTGATAAGAGAGTTAAGTTTTTAACAGAAACTGTAAACTGTGATCGAAATTTTGCTTGTTTGGGTGACTTAGTCCATTTTCTATGGCTGTTCTTTCTGATTCGTATTGTTCTTCCAGTTCCTCCATTACTGAGAAGAAGTCGAAAAAGTAAATTAAGTCGTGGGTATTACTCTGAATCCTTGCTCGTCCCAGCTTGAGGGGAAATATTTCTGGATTGTCCTTCAGATCTTAGATCAGGAGGTTCTGAGCTTCGGCTCAGGAACATCTGTAAGGAATCTCTAGAGTTATTTCCTGGAACATTTTTTTTTTATGTATTGTCGTGTCTTGCCAGTGGCGTACCGTGGGGGGGATAAGGAGGTATATCCCCCCAGGAAGTTCCATCAGATGCCCATAACAGCATCAGTCAAAGTGATAGTGAAAAAATGAAAGATACCTCAACCAGAGTAATTCAAAAAAGAATTCAAAGGAGAACTCCTTCATTCGACTATATATTTCCCCCACTCAGATCTAGGGAAATTTCCTCAGAATCCTTATTCCTTAGAAATGGCAACCTTGGTCATAGTAGTGCTATTGTGTTACTGTCACATGGTTAGAATTGCCATCCAAAGTTCGTTTTACGAGGGTTTATACTTTTGACATCGGAGAAATAATAAAAGGGTTGTTGTCTCGCTGTCGTAGATTAATTCATATAACCATAAACAGATTTTTAATCAGTATCCACAGCCACCTCAGAGAGAACATTCTCAACACTCAAAAGAATAAAAACCCATCTTCGCAATTCTACTAGTCAAAACAGGCTGAATGGATAGGCAATGATGTCAATCCATAGAGAACTATCTGCAAGTGAAGATGAAATCATAGATCAACTGGCAACTAGATTTTGCTTTATAAAAAGCTTAATCCGACAATTCATTGAAAATTTGCCTCTTGTTGCCCTGATTAGTGATTATTTTTTACCCCCCTCTAAAACCAATGTTTGGGTACGCCGCTGTGTCTTGAGTGTCAATGGTCACAATAGGTCTGTTCTCAAAAGAGTTTCTAACAATATGTAAACTGTCAGTAAGCATCGCCCATACATGTTTTCAATGCCGTCGTTCCAAGATAAATCGGTAACTTAGCTGAGCGATTGTTTCCTCCTGTGAGAACAAACCTAATATTGTCAGTGTTAACCAATGTTTTCCTGACATCTTCGTCAAACGGATGCTGCGCATCCAGGTACCAGTCAATATATCCATTGGTCGCATGTTTATCATTGAATGCGGATGGAATTATTGTATCCGAGAAGTGCATATGGCATTTATTCTTCAACGCTTTAAGATTTTGTTATTTTCTCGAAGTATACTCAGGTATTCGATAATGGTGGAGTGAAATCTTTCTATCAACCCGTTGGATTGTGGGTTATCAGGGGTAGTATAGTAGATAGATTACTTATGTGTATCTATAAATTATCCTGTATAAATCCATTCTTCAATTCTGTTCTACTCTCGGTGACTATTATATATGGTATTCCATGATAAAGTTATGAAGATTAGGAACTGAATTTGATCCCTCTATGGGGTAGACAAACCTAATATTGTCAGTGTTAACCAATGTTTTCCTGACATCTTCGTCAAACGGATGCTGCGCATCCAGGAACCAGTCAATATATCCATTGGTCGCATGTTTATCATTGAATGGATGGAATTATTGTATCCGAGAAGTGCATATGGCATTTATTCTTCAACGCTTTAAGATTTTGTTATTTTCTCGAAGTATCCTCAGGTATTCGATAATGGTGGAGTGAAATCTTTCTATCAACCCGTTGGATTGTGGGTTATCAGGGGTAGTATAATGGATAAATTACTTATGTGTATCTACAAATTCCTATGTAAATCCATTCTTAAATTCTGTTCTACTCTCGGTGACTATTATATATGGTATTCCATGATGAAGTTATGAAGATTAGGAACTGAATTTGATCCCTCTATGGGGTAGGCTTGTCCATATTTTGATCAATAATTGTTAAAAACTTTTGCCCTTCGGCTTGAAAGGTGATGAATAATAGATGAATAATTTCCAAAAGTCTAGTCGGTGTTGGAGTAATCATATGAATTTTGGTTTGGCTGGATTCCCACTGTATTTGTTCGACTGGCAGGTCTCACAAACATTTATGATATTGAACTTCGTTGACCAGTCAGAAACAACTACTCCGATTTATGATATTTCCAATATCTCGTTTGAGGTTCGTCAATTCCTCGATAATTTATTTTTCCTTGATGGTACGCCTGGATTTTTTCACTTTGTCTTTCTTTGCTGTTGACGTATTCTAGGAGAAAGTTGCAATTGATAAAGTCGAATGAATGATTTTTAAAAGTTTCTTTAAGGATGTTCCATAGAGGAACATAAAGATCTTCGTCCTTAAAAAATGATTGTATAAGCTTCTATGTTATTCTTACTTACTTGGACATGGTAGCCTGGATTTTTTAGGGAGGGCTACTTCTATTATTGGCTTTGCTAGATTATAATTAACAGACTTGACCACAATTTGGTTATTGTATAGTATTAAAGGCTCTTTCGCTTATTGGAATGCCGAGTATAGGTTCTTCCTGAGCCGTGTGTCTAGTTTCGTCATCTTCCTGCAGGTCGACTCGTGTGGGTTCTGAATTATCAAGGATTTCACTGATGACCTTTTGTATCTTCGCTTCATAGAACTTCGTTTATGCCGAAGATTGATTCTACATGCCTTTTCTTCTTGTGCTGGTTGGGCAATTTCTTTGATATGGATTTCAACTCTGAACAGAGCATCTGCATTCGTGTTTGATTTTCCCTTCTTATAGATTATTTCATAATCAAACTCCTCCAGCCTTAAGCGCCATCTAACTATTTTGGAACAATTGTCTTTCATGGAAAAAAGGGAGAAGACGGTGATCTGAAAGTATCTTGAACTTTCTCCCAAACAAGTAGGATCTGAAGTACTTAC